CCCGAATAAAAAAAGCCCAGGTCCAGATGGATTTACAGCAGAATTCTACCAGACATTTAAAGAAGATCTGCAACCAATACTACTTAAAGTATTTGAAAAGATAGAAACAGAGGGAGAACTCCCAAATTCCTTCCACGAAGCCAGCATCACTCTAACACCCAAACCAGGTAAAGATACAACCAAAAAAGAAAACTATAGACCCATATCTTCAATGAACATAGATACAAAAATTCTCAACAAAATACTTGCAAACCACAAACAGATGCAGATAAAAAATCATCCATCATGATCAAGTAGGCTTCTAGAGATGCAGGGATGGTTCAATATATGCAAGTCAATAAATGTCATAAATCATATAAATGGACTCAGACAAAAACCACATCCTCATCTCAATAGATGCAGAAAAGGCCTTTGACAAAATTCAACATGTATTCATGATAAAAGTCCTAAAGGGAATTGGACTAGAGGTAACATACCTCAACATAATTAATGCTATATACAACAAACCCACAGCCACATCATTCTAAATGGAGAAAAACTATAAGTATTCTCATTAAAATCAAGAACCAGACAAGGATGTCTATTATCTCCTGCTAGAGCAGTAAGATAAGAGAAAGAAATTAAAGGAGTACTAATTGGAAAAGAGATCAAATTATTCCTTTTTGCAGATGATGTGATACTATACCTAAGATATCCCAAAAATTCCGCCAGAAAAATTCCTAGAACTTATCAACACTTTCAGTAAAGTGGCAGGCTACAAAATTAATCTACAAAACCCAGGAGCCTTTCTATATACCAATAACAATCGGAGAAAGAATAGAGGGAAAACCTCCCATTTGCAATAGCCTCAAAAAAATATATATCTTGGAATAAACCTAAAGACATAAAAGATCTCTACAACAAAAAATATTTAAATCTTTAAAGAAAAAGATTGAGAAAGACACCAGAACATGGAAGGCCCTCCCATGCTTTTCCCAAAAGGAAAGTATAACCAAAGATTAAAGTGATTAGTATATTTCTTTAAGAGTCCATGTGTATAGCTAAACAGCTACATAACAAGAGACAATGCCAGACAGGAGGTACTTTCAAGTTGTTGGCCAGGGTGGCCCAAGAGACTCCCAGACAGTAACCCAGGATAGAACTGGGAAAATGAACAGCAGACCCCAATCTTATCTAAAGGAGTGTTGGCAACTGATTGCTGCTAGATGAACAGCTGACCTTCCTAAAACAAGGAACTCTAGATAGGCTGACTAGACTCAGCAGATGGACTTGCACTGGGCAACAGCTGGGGGCACTGACCAACACAGCGGGCAGTAACAGGGATGACAGTATATGGGCTCCAGTGGGGGCGGGGGAGAGGCTATGGGAGGATGCCATTTGGGATGTGGGTATAAAGATAAGATTGTTTGGGATGTTCTGTATGAAACACACACACACACACAAAATCAATAAATAAAATATTTAAAAATAAAGTAAAAAAATGAATTAAAAAATGTGTTGGTGTGTGCACATGTACACAGGTGTATCCATGTGTCTATGCATGCTCATGTGGATGGATGCCAGAGGTCAATCTCAAGTGTCATTCCTCAGGAGCTGTCCAATTTATTTATTTACTTGTTTGTTTATTTGAGACAAGGCCTTTCACTTGGACCTGGGCTATGTTTTAGGCAAGGCTGGCTGAGTAGCCAGTGTGCACTAAGTATCTTCCTGTCTCCACCTCCCTGACACTGAGATTGCAACTGTGTGCCACCAGGCCCAGCTTTTTATGTGGATGCTGAGGATAGCACTCAGATCCTTATACGTGTATGTCATGTGCTTTGCTGATAACTTTCTCCCCAGCTTCCCAGGCATCTTAGTAAGGTCAACATCCAAGACCAGCCATCCCATGCAGGGTGGCGCCAGAAGAGATTATATGAGTGCGTCATATTTAGTAGGACATTCTGTAGCCGAGAAGCTCGTGTCGTGTTGTAGATAAGCAGTTTTCATAAGTCTGTAACATTTCATGGCAGCCTGTACAGTAGGCAGGGAGCTGAGTGGTAAGTGGCCTTGTAGTAGTGCCTCACCAAATCGACTACGCACTTATGTTCAGGGTGGGTTACAGGCTTAGATCATCTAGTATGAAATCTTCATCTCTGTGGTACATGCAGACATGCTAGTTACCAGGCAGCTTTGATGTAGTCAAACCTCCTGGTGAAAGGACTATTAAACAGACCAGAAAATGAAGACATGAACAGGTTAGATGGAAGAGAATTTAGTTCTCATGCTCTTGAAAGGAACAGACATTGTCATGTGTACCTTTGATTCCTGAGTAGCCTGACTTCACACCATCAGGATGGCAGAATGGTTTAAAGCACATAACTTGCTTGGAAATGAGAACTTTTATTTCTGAAGTAGAAATATGAACACTGGTCTTTGGCAGTAAGTGCCAGGGAATTTTATATGAAAAGAAAAATAGAATCATCCATTTGGGGACCTTAACAGGAACTCTGCCAAAATCTGAGGGTACTCTGGATACTGGTGAGCAAGTCGTCTATTGATCGAATCTCAGCCTCACACAACCCTTTTCTCTTTTAATCTAAAAGCAGAGTAGGGAGACCACAAATACCCCTTCCCAGCTCCCACTACCAAGTGAAAGAACTAGACAGAAAAGATGGGAGGAAACCAGGTATGGAAATGCTCACCTGTAACCCAGAACTTGGCACTTGGGAGGTGGAGGCAAAAGGATCTGCAGTTTAAGGTTGTCAGACTGGGCTACAAAACATCCAAAACAGAAAAAAAAGTGGCAGCATAATCCAAGTATGAATGCTCAGGCTAATCCTAAAACTGCAGTATTATGGTTAGTTTTACATCTACTCTGCACTTCACTGGGTACCAAGGACCCAGATATTTGGTCAGTCATCATTCTGAGTACACCTATGAAGGTGTTTTTTGAGATTAATGTTTGAATTTGTAATTCAGTATTACTGCCTGCCTTGGATGGCCTTCATCCAGTCAGTAAAAGGCCCAAGAGAACAAACAGGCTGACTCTCCCTCAGAAACACAATATTGTTCCTGCCTGATGGCCTTGAGTCTTTTCAGGTCTTTAGATGTAAATTTAAACACTGTTCTTGAGTCCCAGGCTTGTTAGCTTTGGTACCAGACCTTACACCACTGGTCTCCAGATTACAGAATGCAGAACTTGGGACTGCTCAGACCTGTAATCACACCACCCAATTCCCTAACACACACACACACACACACACACACACACACTTTCTAGTGTTTTAGGTTTTTTGTTTTTTGCAGAATCCTAATTGAAAGTTTAGAAATCATGCAATATATCTTTATCGATTTAAGAACTGATACAATAGCAATGTAGTTTACTATTGAAATGCAAACCATTTACATTAGGATTTGTTATATGTTTGCTAGATCTCTGAAAATCTTAAATACCATACCAAGCCTTGGAAACTGACATAAAAATGCAGGGGCCCAAAAACATTGGGCAAGAGAGGATGTACCACATAAGCAAACCGTTGTGAGCTGAAACTAGAAAACCCTGCTATATCCAAATCCCAGAGTCTTAACACTGATATAACTATGGAAGATTGCTGGTGCCAGAAATCAATTGAGAAATGTGAACAGATGCAGTAGTGAAGAGTATTTCTATCCTAAGAAGTGACAAAAAAAAAGTTTGCAAGCAGGCATCTTGAAACCTTTGCAGAAGCAGCTCCATTTGAAATATCTAAGTACTTACAGTATTCATTTAAATTGACAAGATTGAGGTTTTCACAATCATGAGGAAACAAAAATGTGCAATGAAGTGCATTTAAGGGAAAGTTAACGTGAGTTTACATGAGGGTTAAAGTACTCATCATATGTAATTGTGCAGTGTTCATCACATGGGGGATTTGGGGATCAACATAAGAAAGCCAACTGCCACACGCTAATACTGGAGTTCTAAATCCAAAAGCAATACTTTTAAACACCTGCTGTGAATTCAGAACTGGAGAATGTGGACTTAGCAGGGAAAGGCTTTGTGCAGTTCACTACCAGTCTGTGCTATAGGACAATGGCCTTGAAACAGCACAGCAGCAAATGCCACTCCTGAAACACCTTTTAGGAAGACTTACCAGAGGGTTTGGTTAAATCCCCAGCAGCACACCGAGAGCTCGGCAAACCAGTGCAATCTGTACCTCTGCTGTCGGTAGATCCTTGGAATGCTGGTAACCCAAGGAAACAGCAAGCCAGTTATGTCACTGCTTAGGTGGTGTAACTCAGGAAGTCTCTGTGGTGAGCAGCATGGGACAAAGCACATCTGGGAGGAAAAGTACTGTTGGTCCAGCTGCCACCAGAGAACCCCAAGGAACTCTGTTGCACTGTGACACCCCTGGTGGATCTGCCAGTGACCCTGCTACTTTACATCCACTTCCTTTGGGCCTCACCCAGGTTTTTTGAGGTTTCTTGTCTCTCAGTACATAACCCTCTGTCTTAGCACAACCAGCTCGCGGACAGAGTGCATAAGAGGAGGAGGCAGTAAAGTGTGTACAGTTTTGAGGAGCTCTTAGGACCAAGATAACTACCAAGGCAAGAACCAAGAGGCAGGGCCTTAGGACTCATCACTTTATTCCCACTTACACTGTATCATACTACGTAAGAACTCTTCTCTCAAGAGTAGCAAAATTAACAGAAAAAATTTAAACAATGGAATTTCATGGGTGATACATTCACAATGATTTAATGATAAAGAAGCTGTTTAAGGCACTCTCACTAGAATTCCTAAGTCAGGTAAAGAATTAAAGGACTCTATCACAGTAACCCCACCTTCACCCCAACCCCTGCTCTGCCAAGTGGGTATACTTGGCAAAAAAAAGAAAAAAAAAAAAAAAAAAAAAAAAAAAAAGCAGCACTATATTGAATCAGAATCTAAACTATCATTTTTTTTTAGATATACAAATGGCCTTGGTGAGAAGGTCCACAGACAATATTGATTTTCAGAACTATGTAGGAAATCTCACTGGTACATTTAATAAATGTTTATTAGCACCTGTATACAAGGCACAAAGTAGGACATAAGATTTCCAAGAGTCTGTCCACCTGTAATGGGTACATTAGTCAAAGGAAGGGTCAGAGTAACACCCCCAAATCATAACCATCCCCTCAGCAGGCAAGAAGCACTGGCTGAGGGAGGGCAACTAGCCAGTCTGGAAGCCCACTTGATTCCAATGGTAAGAACAAAACTCCTGCAGGCAGCTCTTTCATAACCTCCTATGAAATAAGTTTGTTTCTTTTTCCCCATCACCTTCTAGAACGTAGATGTGTCTCAGCCAGACTCCTAACAGCTGAGGCTGTGTACTGGTGAACAGAGCCCCCATCTACAACTTCTGTAGTTAGTAAGACTCTGGCATGGCTTCAGTTTAATGACAGAGGAACGCCAACTTCGGAATGGATGGCAGGGGTCACTGTGACAGCAGTTTTCTTCCCTGTGTGTCGTCTCTGGTGTTGAATAAGGTATGACGGCCGGGTAAAGCCTTTCCCACATGTTTGGCATTCAAAGGGCTTCTCACCAGTGTGTACTTTTTGATGCTCAATAAGGCTTGTAATCCTACTGAAACTTCTCTCACACTCATTGCACTGATAAGACACAGGAGTTTCAATGTTTTCCCACTGGCTTTCTGCCTTACTCTGACTTTCCCAGTAAGGTTCTGGAACATAAAAGTCTTTATCCCCAGTATGGGTCCTCTGATGTCTCAGGAGATGTGAGCTACGCCTAAAGGCTTTAGGACACATGTTACACTGGTATGGTTTCTCCCCAGTGTGAATCCTGTGATGTTCAAGAAGACTGCAGCTCTGGGTGAAGGTTTTCCCACAGTCATCACACTCGTAGGGCTTCTCCCCAGTGTGGGTTCTCTGGTGCTTGATGAGGTCTGAGCTGTGACTGAAGGCCTTGCCACATTCTTCACACTCATATGGCTTCTCACCAGTGTGAACTCTCTGATGAATGATGAGAGCAGAGCTTCCGATGAAGGCTTTGCCACACTCTTCACATTCATAGGGTTTCAACCCAGTGTGGATTCTCTTGTGTTTACTCAGACCTGAACTTTGAGCAAAACTCTTCCCACATTCACGACAGTAGAACCGCCTAGTCCCTACTTTCTGTGTTGTCTGTAACCTGCCTTCCTGTTCTCCAGCTTCTGTACTTGTAGAAATCTGCAGAGTGTCTTCACCCAGGTGGGCCACTGCCTGCTCAGGCTCCTGTTCTGGGTATTCCTCGGGTGGAGGCAAGTCCCTGGTCTTAGTCTGCATTTCCTGATCTGAAACACAAATGCCAACAACTGGTAATTAGCCTTAGTATGGGAGCTCTGTGATGAGCAAGGACACAATTACAAAGGTTTATATGCCACGCTCAGGCACTTAAATGCAGGAATTAGGGTGGGAATAAAGAGGGACGACAGAAGTGCTGGGGGGCTGAGGACAGGAATGGGGTCACTGGAAGAAGGCAGAACAGAGAATGGAAAGACTGGAGGGAAATGATGAGAACCAAGGATGGCTGAGGACAGAGTAGTGGCAGTGTGGGGAGCCTCTATGTGCTCATAACAGAAAGGCAGCAGCAGCACACACATACACCTAAGATCAGATACAAAAAGGACTAAGTGGGGCTGGAGAGATAGCTCAGTAGTTAAGAACACTGACTGTTCTTGCAGAAGACCCGGGTTCGAATCCCAGCACCACATGGCAACTAACAACTGTCCATAACTCCAGTTCCAGGGGATCCGACAGCCTCTGTCCTCTGCGGGCATTGCAAGACATGGGTGCACTTATCTACATGCAGGCATGACACTCATCCACATAAAATAAAAATAATAAATAAAATTTTTAAAAAAAGGACTAAGCACAAAAAGCAACAGTACAGGGCAAATGAAAAGATTGCTGGAGTGTATAAGAAACAGCCAAAGTGAAGACTCAAAACTGGCTAGTGGTCGAAGACAGAGCAGTTATCTTCAACTGTGCCCCAGCAGAGGCAGGGTCCCCAGGCAGAAGAGACCTCAGTCCTCAGAGATAGAAACTGGAGCCCCCATCATGCCACCAACCAGCTGTGTCACCTGACAAGTCTGGCAACCCTCTGTACCCTTGCGTCTAAGGTCAAGGTCGGTAGACAGTGGCCAATGCTGCTTCTAACTCCACACTGTGACTCTGTGGCCCATTATTTACAAAGAGGCACACTGGCCTTTTTACTAGTCATAACTTGGGATAGCAAGGGAAGGGGGAAAATCAACGTGTTTTTCAGAGCATTAAACCCATGACCCTTGTGCATGTAGGCAAGTGCTCTACCCGATATATACACCCAACCCCTGAACGCAACATTTATGAGCATCACCTCTGAGCCAGAACTGCCCTAGGGTCTGTACCTACTTTATCCCACTTTACTTTATCTTGACTAGAACACTCAAGAGGGCAGAGCATCAAGGGTACAAACATTAAGGATTAGTTAGTTACAGTATTTCAAAAAGTGTAGTTCTGAATTCAAGCATAATGGACTCAACAGCTTCTAAAAGCCTTAACAGAGCAAGTAGGTTTTAATATATAAAAAAAAGTCAAGAAACCTGAGAAGTTAATGCCTGTCAATCTTACCCAGGGACACCAGGCTTCCAGAGTTCTCCTGAATATCATCTCTGTAGAGGTTCATCTGAGATGAATCCTGCTCTGTCCATCTAGGGGAGAGGATTGGGGCCATGTCTTCTATTTTCAGCAACCCCTGAAAGAATAAGTTGACAGAGATGGACTAGGGAAGACCTGGAATACAACATTCTTCCCCCTCAACCAACCAACCAACCAACCAACCAACCAACCAACCAAAAAAAAAACAAAAAAACTGGAGAAGCTGAAGTGTGCACCTATGTGAAGTTAAGCATGAGAGACCTTAGGGTGGCTGAGGAAATTCACATCTCAACTGGGTAGAGAACGGAGGGTGGGGACAGAGATGGAGTGGCGAGGAATCACGCAGTAGTAAAGGGCATTCGCGAAGGAGAACAGCTCTAGCTCACCTGTGACTCCGGAGTGAGCCTGGCAGCTGCCACTGTGTCTTCTCTGCAACGGCCTCCCTGGGCAACTAAGATGGAAAGTTCTGGGTGAGCTCCACCCTGGCACCCAGCTTCCCTACCCTGTGAAAGCCAAGCTTCAAAACTTGACTAATAAATTTATGCAAGTTTACAAAATATGTTCCGTTCTAAAATACCCGATTGCTATCAGCTCCAAAGATGTTCACTGAAGACACACAAAAGCTCTCTGAGACCCAGAGTGTGGCTCACTGGGAAAGCACTTGCTTAGCATGTGTGAAGCCCTGGGTTTCATCATATGCACCACCATGAAAGGAAAGAAAAATAAAACCCAGAAATACTCACTTCTAACTTGTGAAGTGAGCAATCCCAGAGATTCATGCTTGAGTAGAGGCTTCATGGGCTCGATCTGGCTGCTTTCTGAGACCTGAGCTGATGTCAGCAGTGCTTCCTTGGGACAGAGGAGTTCTTGCCCCTCATCATCATCTGGGACCTAGAAGCAATTCATTTATTTTTACTTTAATTTATTCATGAGACACAAAACATTTTCTATGAGCCTAGTACTGTATCCAAGCACATCACAAATATGAACCCATTTAATACAACTATTTCATGAGGGTATTTCACGAGGGTACAGTTTACCCAAGGTCACTCAGCTATTAAGTGACAAAGCTAAGATATGAGGCCAGGCACATGTCTCCATGGTCCATTCAAGAAACCATTAGTCTGCTTCCAACTATATACACATTTATGAAACCCTTTTGGAAAGTGGTGATTAAAAATCTAAAAAATACGAATTTCTTATTTGAAAAATGAGGATGCTAATTTCTAGTGAAGACTGAGTGAAACCAGTGATGACAGTGTAGGAAACCACCTAATACAGGGTCTGGCAATGTGGTATCAGATACAAGTTTCCTTTCAGATCGTTAAATTGTAGTTTCCAAGTTACTTTGTCTTGTGACGCATGGCATTTCCTACATCCATTATAGATAATGAAGTTCATAGACTGGAGTTGGAACAGCTCCAAGTCCAGAAAGTGTCTCCTTGTCACTGTTTAGAAGGCCCTGGCCATGTGTCCCTGACACAAGGACACTGGAGGATGCAGAGAGGACATCATCTCTTGAAACAGATCAAAGGACGGAGGTAAACCCTATTTTCTAGGTCAGTTTCTAGTTCTGAATCTGGATAGAAAAAAAGGTTTTATTTCTTTTGGTTCTAAGGAAAATGTAGCATTTCCTTCCACTATCAAGGGAAGCAATGGAGCAACGTGGCACAAGCAGCTGCAGGCCGGTCATCATCAGAAACTGCAGATGTTTGCACAGCACTGGGCAAGGAAGTATCTTCTGTCACGATTGCCTATTGCCTCACCTGCCCTTGGGTCTTCTTACTCGACATTAAGTACATACCTAACCTTATCACAACTCTGGACACATCGTGCCTGAACTTCAGGATTGAGTTTTGCAATTCTTTAGATTTTCCTTTATGCATTAATACTATCCTGAGGGTTCACTTGGCTCGTGGCCTCAGGTTCCCGGTACAGACTGAGAACTCCATTGGATCCTGAGGTTTCTGGAAGGCATTAGAGCAAAGGTCTTAGAACCTAAACCTGTTCCTTCTACCTGTGGCGGTGGTTCATCCAGCTGTCTCTCCAAATACTCCAGCAGCACCACCACTTCCTCCCCGCTGTCGGGATGCTGCTCGCGCACCCAGCTCTGCAAGTCCGCTGGCAGGATGGTCAGGAACTGCTCCAGCACCAGCAGCTCCAGGATCTGCTCCTTGCTGTGCATATCTGGTCGCAGCCACTGTCTGCAGAGCTCGCGGAGCCGGCTGAGCGCCTGCCGGGGCCCCGCAGCCTCGGGGTAGCGGAAAGCTCGGAAGCGCTGTCGGGAGCGGTCGGGCCCGGGGCTGCCCAGCCAACCGGCCTCCTCGTCCAAGGGGGAGGCTTCTTCCTGTTCCACCTTTATGACCAGGAGGTCCATCTGGTCCTCTGCAGAGTGGGAGTCCAGAGCTGTGCTTTCCCTTGATTCTCTAGCCATCGTGAGCCTTAGCTTGCACTTGCAGTTCTTCTGTGACACTAGCTGCCAGCTGTAATTCTGCAAAACACTACTGAAAAGTGGAGATGACTGTAAGCTACCATAGCCAAGGGCTCCCCTCCTCTCACGCCAGGACCTGGAGGCCAATGCTAGGGAGAACCTGAACAAACTCCTTCCCATGTCCAAATGCCTAGCTTCTCATTTTGTGCCATCCTGTGGTGGTTATCTTTTTCTTTTTCTGGCCTCAATCTCACAAAGACTCACTTGCCTCTCTGCCTCCTGAATGTTGGGATTAAAGGCAGGCACCACCAGCCCGGCTAAATTTCTTTCTTTTAAGACAAGGTCCCCTCGAAATCCCAGCTGGCCTGGAACTTGCTATAGAGATCAGGCTGGACTTGATCACTGAGAGCTTCCTGCCTTTCTGCTGGGATGAAGGTGATTATTTTTGAGGGGGTTTAAAACAACATACACATATCTGTGTGGGAGTTTCCAGTGTTAACTGAAATTGGAAGAGCCACCCTGATTGTGGATGGCCCTACTCCACTGGTTGGCCTCCCAGGTGAAAAGAAGATAAGCAGTGGGCAGCAGCCTTCATCCACCCGATTCCTCACTGCAGACTGAATGTGACCAGCTGTCTCAGGCACTTGCTTCCACGGCAGCCAAAATAAGCTCTTCCTTAAGTTACTTTTGTAGGTATTTGTCACAGAAACAAGTAACTAATGCACAAAACTAGTACTGATTAAGTGAGGCCACTGCTGTGAGAAGCTTGATCATATGTTTCTTAAGCCTTTGGAACTGGTTTGTGGAAAGAACATGGCAGAGTTTGGAGCTGTGGCTAAAAAAGCCCCCAGAAGGGTATCAGACTGTTTGGTAGGAACTAGGAATTCCAGAATGCTGAGAGACATGTGAACAGCAGAGGCCTAGCTGATGAGGTTTCAGAATGGAGTAAGGACTCTGTTGGGAACTGGGCTCAAGTCTATTCATGTTATATTCAGCAAAGCCTGTAGCTGCATTCTGTCCATGTCCTGAGAACTTCAGTGATTAAATTAAAAAGTAAAGGGCTAGTAAAGGGTTGGAGAAACAGCTCAGTCATTAAGAACACTCAACTCTTAGCTCTTGCAGAGAACCCAAGTTTGGTTCCCAGCACCCACTGGCAGCAAACAACCATCAGTAACTCCAGTTCCAGCAGAATCTGATGCCCTCTTCTGGCCTCCACAGGCATTTCAGCACATGGTACACTTATATACATGCAGACCAAACATTCACGCACATGAAAATACAAATAAAATTTTAAAGTAATGAACTAATTTGTTTGCAGAAATCTCAAAACAAGACAGCATCGGGTTGCGGCATGACTACTCCTCACTGCTTTTACTCAAATCTAAAGAGCCCAGAAAGACAGGAAAAATGGGGTTTGGCCAGGAAAGGAGTACTTATGTAATGCTATGACAATCAGGGTGCAAATAAATCTTCTGCACCATTAAAGAGAAACCTTGTGCTCTGTACCAGTAAAACAGGAAAGCATCCCCGAGGACAAGTTACCATCCATCCATAGAAAATTCAAAGCTTTCAAAATGCAAATTCATTAGAAAGGAGAGCCTTTACTGAGAATGTCACCACAGGAGTTCGCTGCTCCAAAATGGCTACCTATGGAAGTGTCAAGGTCAGCATTATATCAAAGGCACAAGGGAGCCAGGCTACATTTCAAACTGGCAGAACTTGAAAGCACTGTCCACACAGTACTGGTTTTGCAAGCATGAAAGATACAAGAGTAAAGGGTCATGGAGGCTTGTACAGAGGTTCTAGAAAGACTGGCCAGGCAGTGTGGCAGTGTCAGATTCCCCACAAGGAGCTCACCACATGAAGCTGGTACTGTGAAACATAAGTTGCAGTGGAGACGCCAGGACATGGGACATCTGCGAGGAAAGCTGTAGGCATAGAGTTGAGCTGGCTCAAGAAAGAGATCATACATATATGTGCTATAGACAACTAGGATGGAATGGTGGAGCTGCCCAAGGCTCCTGAAGCCCAGGTGATTCTACCATGAGCCCCAGATGGAGCTGCAGGATTTGGTGTTTTCTCTGAGGGTTTCAGTCTTGCTTTAGCTCAATCTCTCCTTGATATGCTCCCATTCCTCTTGTTTGGAACAGAAATGTTTACTCTGTGTCAATGTGTATTAGATGCGGCTTGTATTTACTTTTACAGGTTCACAGTTAAGATTGCCTGAGTCCAGCAAGAGACTTCACTTACACTTCTGAACAGTATTTGGACTGTAAAGACCAAAGGAACTTTTGGAGATGGGCTAAATAAATTTTGTATTATGAAATGCACACGAGACTTAAGAAGCCAGGGGTGAAATGTTATGATTTAAAGTGATGTGTTTAGCTATCAAGTTGACAAGGGGTAGACTTGTAATGGTTAATCTTGTTAACCTGACAGGATGTAGAATTTCCCAAAGATCAGCCTGTGAGGTAATTTGAGAGAGCTTTAACGGAAGTAGGAACACCAACTGTGAATGTAGACACCATTCTACGGGCCAGGGTCCTAGACTACATAAAAAACAAAATACAAATACAGCACCAGCATCCATCTCTCTCTGTAGAAACATTGTGACCAGCTGCCTCCCCCTTCTGCCTCTATGACTTCCCCACTATGGTGGACATTACCCTCAAACCCAGGCAAACAAAGTAAGTTTAAGTTGCCGTTTAAGGTATTTTGCCACAGCAATGGGAAAGTAACAAATACCCCAAATCTGTATCCACAATAAACTCTCCAAAGAATGTCCGGGAAATGTATCCGAATATCTCATACCTCAGGAAAGAGAAACTAAGATGGAGGGCAGCCAAGTTTCAGTGAAGACAGGCCACTGTCTGAACTCTTTAGGAAGTGCTTCTCAGTGACAAGCTCAGAGTAATCACATTAGCACCCAGGTCTATGGCTGGCCCAATTCTAAGATGATCCCAAAAATTTGCTGCCTTAATCTTATCAGGATGATGAATATAAGACCCCCTTGGAACAATCATATTGATCACAAGGAGCTTAATTGTACCAACAGTATCAATGAGTGTTTACGTGGATTTCAGCCCTGAGCCTACAGCTACATCTACGAACACTCTGACTCTGGCTTAGGAAGTCTCTTCAGAAAACTCAGTTGAGCCTACCACGTAGAAATAATAAGCAGGCTTTATTTTAAAGTCTTGTAAATTGTTAGGCAGCAACAGGAAATGAACACTAGGTCTTCTTTGTGGTTAACACACTACATTTAGAGAAAGGAGAAAGAAAAGAAATACAACTGAATTTTTAATCCCGGGATGTCTGTTAGTGAGACTCTCAATCCTCTCTGATATGAACCTCACAACTGACTAAACATTGAAGTTTAAATTCAGCTGAAAGTGGTCTACCCAGGCCTCTTTGAGCTTTGGACTGCAGAACCTTCTGTCTTGCTCAGAAACATCAAAGCATCAGCACACATCACCAAGTCCTTCCCTGGAGAGCACGATGATGCTCCTGGTCCTTACAACCCTGTCAGTCTACCACTCTGCTCCCATTCAAGGCCAACTCCTTGAAAGAAAGCCCTAGACTTAGACTCTAGTTTTATCTGCCAAGTTTTAAACACACTTAGACCATAAAACAATCAAGATCGTTCCTGCTTAAGTGGTTGGAAAGGCTTCCTTCAGTTCCTATGTACCATGGCTTCTCAGGCGACCAAGCTGATGTTGCTGTCTACTTCCAAAACCTCCCTTATCTGTGGGTTCCTGAACCTTTCCTGTTCCCTCACTTTTCTTTCTTTCCACTATAGACTGGTTCAGTCTTACTAGGTATGCAGTCTCTCAGGATGTTTCCTAGATTCATAATTCTGGCTTGACTGGAGCCATCAGGGTGATCTTGATAAATCACATCTCTGTGCCTCACTGTAAAAGGGTGACAGCACACAGGAATGCTGTCAGCATTAAGTCTGTGTATGAAGTTCTGGAACAGTGCCTAGCATGTGAGTAGTATATTAATGTCAGCTAATATAGTAATATATCAATGTCAGAATAGATGATTGGCTTTTCTCATTTTAAGTATGAGTAGGCTTTGGTATTCATTCATTCATCTATCTATCTATCTCTCTCTCTATCACTATCTATCTATCTATCTATCATCCATCTATCATCCATCTCTATCAATCACTACCTCTATCTATCATCTATCTATCTCTAATCTATCATCTATCTATCATCTATCAATCTATCTATATCTATCTATCTATCTCTAATCTATCATTTATCTATCATCTATCTATCTAATCTATCTTCTATCTATCTCTATCATCTCTCTCTCATCTCTATCTATCATCTATCTATCTCTAATCTATCATCTATCTATCTATCTCTCATCTATCTGTCTATCATCTATCTCTAATCTATCTTATCTATCATCTATCATCTATCTATCTATCTCTCATCTATCTAATCTATCATCTATCTATCTATCTCTCATCTATCTAATCTATCATCTATCTCTAATCTATCTTATCTATCATCTATCATCTATCTATCTATCTATCTATCTATCTATCTATCCATCCATCCATCCATCCATCCATCCAATCTATTTTTGGTATTCCATTCTTGATCCTTACTTTTCTCACTTCACATTCTTGAATCACTTGCAAGATTTTAATTATTTCTTAGCTAAAGACTTTTGACCCCTATCTTCAGTAGCCTCCCAGATGGTTCCACCCTGAAACTTACAAACAAATCTAATCTAATACGCCCCAAACCAAGCTGGCTTTCTTGTTCTCTCCCATTTCCCAGTGCACCATTCTCTATACACCGCAGCACCAGCCCAGGCATTGGAATCATGTGACTTCCCCATTCAGTTCCAACACAATCACCTACTCCAGTCTGCTCTACTCCTGCAGCACCTCTCAGATGTGCTCCCTATTAGTCCTCCCAGCCCACAGCATGGCCCGCATTGTCTCCAGCCTGGACGGTGTCTTTGGACGTGCACACCAGCTCTGTCCTATCCTCCCAGCTGCCAGACAGCTTTCTAAAATTCCCAACCAGGGCATCAGTGTTTTCATTCTGTCTATACTGCCTATTTCTACACAGGCCCTACTGATCCTGTCATCCTAAAGTGGAACTGAAGTTTGGAAATTTCACATAAAGTCAGGCAGGTGTACAGTGCTCAGACCAATCAACTTAAGGGCCCTGTGGAAGCTCAGCCAGGAATCACAATTTTGTACCTGACTATGTGCACTCAACAGAGGTACATAGTTTTTTTAAGTAGATGTTTTTAAAAACCATTTTTTTTTTTTAGTGATCACAAAGGTGCCCTGAATTTGCAGAAGTGAGCAGCTGCCAGGCCATGCATGCTATTTGATATGCTGCCACGTCTCTGCAGTGTAATCAACCCCTGAAGTCCAACCTGCGTGTCTCCTTTCTACAGCTTGTCAACCCCCTTAGGTGAACTGCTTTCTTCTGCAATTCTTCCTTTTTACACAAGAGATGAAAACCGTGGAAAGAATGCATTGTTAGTGCTCCACGAACTTTATATTAAAAAACAACAAACAGCTGGTGCATGCTTACAATCTTAGCACTTGGGGGCTAAGGCAGGAGAACAGTGAGTCTGAGGCCAGTGTGAGTTACAGAGCAAGACCCCATCTGAAAAACAGCAAACAAAACCCAACCCAACAATAAAATCTGTGCAGCCTTGTTCCCTATCAAAAGTCTGTCACCAGGCAAGGGGGACGGCACGCCTGTAACCCCAGCAGGCTGCAAGCAGCCACAGGAAAACTGCTCCAAGTTCAAGGCCAGTCAGGTCTATGTAGCCAGTTCTAGGACAATGAAGCCTACACAGTGAGACCCTACATAAAAACAAAACAAAGACTGTCTACACTGCTGGACTATGAGGTTTTTGTTTAAATAACTGTCCTCAGCTTACTCATCTTTGTATTTCCCAAGTGCTAACACATAGTACACACTATAAATTTGTAATTGTGTAAGTGAATGACTGAAAGAACACAAATGTGTTAGGTGAATAGTTATTTCTATAAAGCCACATTTCTCAACCTCAGGCATGTTAAGTGAAATGACTTCTGTGTTACAGAGGGGAGACTACCTTTAACTATTAAGGTATCTAGCAGTCCCCCTGGCCTCTACCCACTAGGTACCATTAGCAGCATCAAAAAAACCTCCCACACGGCTACATGTTACCTTGGAGAATATAAGCACTTCTGTAAAAGTGAAAATGTGGGGCTGGGGATATGGCTTAGTCACTAAAATGCTACCACACAAGTGTCAGGACAGATTTCCCAGCAACCCTGTAAAAGCTGGATATGGTGGTATGCACCTGCAATCCCAGCACTGGGGAGACAGACGAGGATTCCTAGAGCTCGCTGGCCAACTAGTCTTGCTCAATTGGTGACTTCCAGGTTCAGTTAGAGACCATGTCTCAGAAAAAGTAAGGTCAACAGCAACAGAGGAAGATACCCAATACTGACCTCTGGCCTCCATGTACATGTACCTGCATATACATGTGCACAAACACATGAACACATACCTATCCCCCACCCCCACGAATATAAACTTCGAAACTGGAAAACCTGCTGATACATCTCAGAGCTGTAAGTTTACAGGGAACTTAGAAACCAGAGGAGGGAGCAGTCTAGCAATTAGGTAAGGACAAAAGCTGCCTCCAGAGCACATATGCAGGCATGCTTATTTCCCATGATTAGACAACACACAGATGGGCAGATGTGCTAGGGACTCTGACTCATGAAGATATTCCTCAGGAGGGGCACTGGGGGTGGGGAGGTGTTGTTTCAACAATAAAGAGAGGTATTCCTCCTTTTCCTTCACTGGAGAATCTCAAAAGCTGTGTTAAATGGCTATTCAGTGGCTGCCTGATGCACCTCTCAAGGGGAGCTAAAGTTGGCATAATCCATAGCAGAGCCCGCTGGGTGAAGCATCCCACCTTTGTAAGAACAGGAGCACTGGAATAAGACAAGCTATATGAAGTCCCTCCTCCACCACTATCGGCTTGGATCTTGGACTTGTTACCTATTACCCATCTAGTGCCTCAGTTTTCCACGGGATAATTCTTTTCCCAGAAGCTTTAAGATCTGGGCCTGGGTTAGAGAGATGGCTCAGCAGTTAAGAGCACTGGTGATCTTGCAATCTTCTGAAGACCCTGGTTCAATTCCCAGCACCCACATGACAGCTAACAACGTCTATAACTCCAGTTTCAGGGGATCCAACGCCCTCTTCTGACTCCCATGGGCATTACATGACATGGGTGCACTTACATGCATGCAGGCAATACACTCATACACATAAAATAAAAATAATCAAATATTTTTAAAAAACGACCTAGGCTTGACTTAAAAGATCTGATTTCTCTGAACCAGAAGGAACTAGATTTTTACCCAGAAGTGACTGTAGTTATTTAACTACACTGAGATGTCAGTGCATTCCTCTTCACTCAGTGAGATGAAGAGATTCAAAGGAAAAACATTTGGTATTTTGAGGAGGGTCTCACTTTAGCCCAGTCTGGCCCTGAATCCGGCAGGTAGTCCAAGCTGTCCTTGAACTCATGGCAATTCTCCGGTCTCCTGAGATTTAGATTACTGGCATGATGAGCCACTACGCCTGGCTCTATCATCTGTTACAAAGCAACAGAAAATACTTCATCCTAATTAGTTGTCAAATGAGATCTGGGACACTATAATTCTGGTCAAATATGTGAACCTAAATTTAATCAAATCTCTAGATCCAAAAATACAAGAGTAAATTAAAGGTATTAAAGTTATGCTTACACAACAGAACCATTGGGAAGCTTTTAAAACATCCTGGTAGTTGGACAACCAAGGTCAACCAACCTGGGGGTGGGGGGTGGAGGGCACAGGCCTCAGTATCTGAGAACTTACTGTGTGAGTCAACATGCAGTTGACTGTGAGAACTAAGAAGTTACAGATAAAAGAACCTTATTGGTTTTTTGTTTTTGTTTTTAAAGCTATAAAAAGACTATCCAAGAGTCAATTAAGGAATTCATGTCAGTTCTGTTGACTGGGATACTGGGGCTAGATTAAAGTTCCTATATTAGCACTGAAGTACTTGCAGATGAAGGGATACAAAGAATGAAAGAAAAGGAAGGAAAGGAATGAGAAAACGTAAGGGGGTAGGGAGACAGGAAAGGAGGGGTGGAGGGAGGAGGGAGGAGGGAAAGGAAAGGGGGGAAATGAACGAAAATGATCCAAAGATGATGGCTGTTGAAGCTAAGTGGCCAGTCTATTATTGGAGTTGCTTTTCTCTAAACTTACATTTAAATTTTCCCCAATAGTTTTAAACATTAAACAAAAACTTATTTTCTTTCTTTCCTGATCGCAGTCCAAAGCATTTCGGTGGAGTCAAATCTGAAGCACCGGGAACGGAGCCTAGGAGGGAATTAACATCGGTATCTCACTCACGGAGCCTAGGAGGGAATTAACATCGGTATCTCACTCCTTCTCAACTCCAGGTTTTCCAACCTGTCCTATCTGGAGTCTCAGCTCAACTGAGCAGAGTACAAAGGCAGAAGATTAGCAGACTGTTTACAAGCAGGAAATGTTTGCTAAATAAGTAAACAGACTAAAGACAATGCTGAGAAATAAGTTACACATTTAGAAAAGAATGCTGTAGCAAACCCTTCAATGTTCGATGTGAGAAAGTTGGAGAATAAAAAGAATGTATTCGTGTGACCTCAGTTTCAGATCGATCTATATTTCATCTACCATATATTTTATGTAGCAGTCATCCATCCATGCATCTGATCCTCCCCACAGGCGAGGATTCTTGCTGAGGTCAGAAAACTGGCAGGCCAGCAGTACTAAGAACAGCGATTTCTGCTTACAGCGGGGTCCTGGCCCTCCTTCCGTTAGCTACCTCTTGCTTGCTCCTTCTGTTTCTGAGGCGGAAAGAGGCATCCCCAAGATTTATAATCTTCGGGAGTCTGAGCAGCACAACACACTACACAAACCAGTTTAAGTCTTTGCTTTGGGGTAGTCTTTTCAGAATATCTTAGCTTCCCTCCTCCAACACTGAAATCATCCATTACAAAGAGAACTGCTGATCAATACTAAAATTCAAAAGACACAAGCCAGTCACCAAGGCTACTCACCGAAAAGGAAAACGGTGTCCTAGTTAGAAATAACAACTGATAGTATTAATAACTAACACTAATATAAGAAATAACTAATAATGTTTACACTGAGCTTACTCAGTGCCAGAACTACTTTAAGGACTTTGCACATATAAATCCATTTACTCCTCAAAACAACCCAGTCAGTTAGGCGGAATCATTAGCCATCAAACTCCTAAAATAAAATAGTGAGGAAAAGCGACTGGCCGAAAGTCCCAGAGTAAGCGGCAGAGGCCAGACGACACCAGGCAACCCGACTGCAAACTTCTGGCTTCTGTCCAGGACCCCAGAATAGTTTAAAGACCTTGTAACTGACCTTGTCTCCAGGAAAAGCAAACACAGGCTCCCATTCTCACGGCCTAGCTGTGCGCCCCAAGAACCCCACTGCCGAAAGCCCCCGGCCCGGCCGGGTGAGGCGCGCAGGCCTGGCGGGGACCCGGCCCTGCCGCCAGCGCCCCCCTGGCCCGCCGCTGGGGAGCGGCTCCATCCCACCCGCGCATCCGCTAGCAGCCCACCCGGGCGGGGGAACCAGGCAGGAGGGGACCCGAACCCACCCGGGAACGCAGCGCCGCGCAGAACCCCGCAGTCACAAAAGTGTCGAAAGTCCGACCCTGGGGGCGGGACACAGGGCACTTCCGGCCTCTCTAGGCGGCGTCGCACTCTATGGTTCGTGGTCCCGTCTTCCCCTCCCTCCGCACTTGCTGGTACAAAGACTTTCCCCAAGACAGAAGAAAAGAGCTCCTTGTGTTGCCCGCCACCTCTGCTAAGAGACGGAGGTAACAAGATTATATTTGCTTGTGTCGCCGCAAAGAAATCCTGGAATATAGTAAGAAAATTACAGAAAGGAACTGGATGAAAAAAGGAAACAGAGTGAGAATAATGGTTTTTATTTAAAAATTTACAGCTAGTTGCATTATCTGAAACAACTATAGATAACAATTTTAAGGGCCATTCTGAAATATTTATAAAAAATCTAAGGTACACTAACCTCCGAAGTATGATTAGTACATTTAGCAAAGTTGCAAAAAATTGATATTGATAATTTCATTTTCCTAACCGCAAGAAAACATAACTTTAAAAAGACAACCATTACAGGAACACCAAAATACATAAGCAGCCTCAATGGAAATATTGTAAAACTTAATTTTTTTAAGGATAAATAATTTCATGCCAAGCATACTGGCTCATGTCTGTAATCGCAGCACTTGGGAGGCCTGAGGAAGGAGAATCTTTTCAAGTTCCAGGCCAACCTAGTCTACATCATGAGTATTGGGTTATAGTATAAGAGCCTGTTTTGGAAAAAAAAAAAAATTAGGCCCCATTCATGTACACTCAAGTAACCATAATTAGACTCCATAGGTCTCTGTCTCTGTATCCCCCCTCCCCCCAAAGACATCAAAGTAGGAGGGGACTGGGAAGAAGAATTTCAGTGGGAGAGAGAGGGGGATGAGAGAGGGTGATGGGGGGTGAAATGATAAAAATTAACTATATATGTATGAAATTGTCAAATAAAAATTTAAAACTAAGTGCACATACCTAATAAAATGAATAAATCCCACCAGTAACAAAAGGTAATTGAGATATATACCATGTCTGTGTGTGTGAGAATTAAACACTATTAAGAGAATTCCTACCCCCAACCCCTATCTGAGAAGCTATGAGCAGTTGATGGCTTCTGGGGGGAAGTAGAGTTTTCTTTAAGGATATGGCTCCCAGCAGGTCAACCATACTCTAGTTGGTAGCCCACACCCAGAAGCTTGTGAATAGCACAAATTGGAGTCTTTGGGTTATTCAATTGAAAAAAAAAATTGCTGAATGTTGTGGTGCACGCCTTTAATCCCAGTACTTGGGAGGCAGAGACATAGTGTGTTCCAGCCCAGCTGGGGCTACAGGGAGACTCTATCTTAAAAAGACCAAATAAATAAATATTAAAGAGGTTATTCCTTGCTAAATTTACACATAATTTCAATGCAGAGTACTCCCTTTGGCAGTACACATACTGAAATTGTAATGACAGAGAAGATTAGCAGTCCCTGCACAAGGATGACATGAAAATTCATGAAGTGGTCCATACTCTTAAAAAAATTAAATGTAGAGCCAATCAAAATCCCATTAGTGTGTCTTCTGGTCTATTTTAAATTCATATGGAATAATGAAAGAGCCATGAAGCTCCAAGAAAATTTTTGAATAAATGAAAGCAACATGAAACTTGCTCTTCTTGAGGTGAAGATTAATTTTAAAGGCATAGTAGTTTAGACAGTGTAATAGTGACACCACTTAACAGAAGTGGATCTGTGAAACAGATCTGAGGCTGGGGAGACAAATCTGTATGTACAGATGCTCGCCTATACTACGGAAGTAGCATTCCAAGTTACTGGGGAAAGGAAGAGCTACTTGACAAACAGTACTATGATATTTAGATATCTAAATGAAAATATAAGCTATATTAGGTTTCTACTTAGCATGTCATACAAAGATCAATTTCACAAAGTCAAAAAAAAACTTTCACATTTTCAAAGGAAAATATAGGATCATTTCTTTATGAATTCTAGGCAGGATTTCTTCTAAGCTGAACAAAAAATATAACCTGAAGAAAAAATAAATCTGACCCCATTAAAAGTTAAAACTATATATTTACATATAGTAATGCCAGAAACTAGTGGAAAAGACAGTTAAAAGACTGGAAGAATATATTTGTTACACATGGAGTCAAGAAACGATCAATACAGTGATTATATAATGAATATCTGCACATTAAGAAAAATCACAGGCAAAGGGGGAAATGGCTAAGGATATCTACAGGTAATTTGCAGAGAAAGAATCTTGGATGACCTTCCTTTTTTTCTCTATGTAGAGGTCATTCACAGAGGTGGAATCTTGAATGGACTTTGATCTTTTTGCTGCATCTCAAATCAGAATGGGCAAAGAAGGCCTAGTACTTCCTACATGGAAATCAATGTGCATTATGTAGTGATTCTTCCCTTCGAAAAGGATGATCTGCCGAATACCAGATGCCATACCTCTGACATTCATTTAGTGGCTGGCACCTGTGTCTTCACTTGCTACATCTCCCCTTAGTAGCAAATGTATTTTACCAGGGCCTTCAGTATATCATATTTTGCCCATATGGTCTGAATAATTTATCTTCATTAGTGAGAACATACATATCATATTTAAAATTGTCCAGCCAGTCCAACTCTCTCCCCCTCTCCCTCTCTCCCTGCCCTCCCCCTCCCCTCCCCTCCCCCTGGCCCTCCCTCTCCCTCTCTTTCTTGTTTGATACAGGGTCTCACTATGTACCCCCTAGCTGGTGCAGGTCCCTTCTGACTATAATATGATACAGAGGGGAGGAAACCCTGGGAAACAGCTAGAAATCAAACTTCTGTTTGTCTTCTGAAAATATGATTTACTTCTTTTCCTCCTTTCTAAAAGAAATGGAAAATAATGCATTTGCAAATTCAGTGACTACATATTAAAAGGCTGAAGTCTGCTAATCTGCTTCAGAAAATATACTGTGTGTGACACTGCAGCTTCAGCTGTGGGATGATCTCTGTGTTATATATGACTTGGAGTCTTTTGGATAAATACCTGTGAGTGGTGTAGCTGAGTGGATCATATGGTAGGTCTATTTTTAACTTTTTGAGGAACCTCCATACTTATTTCTATAGTGGCTGGACTAGTTTATAGTCCCACAAGCAGGGTCAGCATCCTCATTAGCATTTGATAGTTGTTTCCTTAATGCTATTTTGATTGGAATGAGATGACTCTTAATGTAGATTTAATTTGCATTTTTCTGATAGTATTAGGTTGTTTGATTTCTTAGTTTTCTTTTTTAAAAAAATATAAATTTTATTATTTTTAATGTGTATGACTGTATTGCCTGCATATATGTATGTGTACCCATGTCATGCAATGCCCATGGAAGTCAGAAGAGGGCATCAGAATCCCCTAGAACTGGAGCTACAGAGGGTTGTTAGCCACCTGGAACTGCAGTTAGGGATGGTTATGGTGCTGGGAATCAAAGTGGGGTCCTCTGCAGGAGCAGTGTGATGGCTAATCCTGAGTGTCAATTTGACTGGATCTGGGATTAACTGAAATAAGAGCGATCTCCTTGATTGGATCATCTGAAGCTGGAAGACACACCCTAAATGTGGGTGTTACCTTCTGATGGCAGCCCATATAAAAAGCCATGGTAGAGGAGAGTGCTTGGTTTTTGCTGCTTTCTCTCTCTCTGTCTCTGTCTGTCTCTCTCTCTCTCTCTCTTGTGCTTGCTAGCTCTCTCACTCGCTCGCTGGTGAGTTCATCTTGCTGCTGTAGACTGAAGACTAGCCTATCATTTGGAATTCATCAATGCTAGACTGGGACTATTGAGACATCCAGCCTTGTGGACTGAGGACTATCAGATTCTTAGCCTCTCTAGTGTGGTGCAGCCATTGTTGAACTACTCAGACTCTATCCTGTGAGCTAATCTGATAAATCCTCATATATATTTATATATTCACTCTACTGGTTCTGTTTCTTTAGAGAACTCTGACTAATACAAGCTGTTAGTGCTCTTAACAGCTGAGTCATCTCTCCAGCCCTGATTTCTTAGTTTTCTAATTCATTTGGAGTTGGTTTTTGTACAGGGTGAAAAATAAGGATTTTTGCATTCTCTACTTGTGGATATTCACCTTTCCAACTGTGGAAATTACAGGTGTGAGTCACCACATACACACTTGAGGCAGAAGAAAAGCAATGAAAACAATTCTATAGGAAGAAATGATGAGTATTTAAATGGTAAACCGTGTATAAATGAGACTTTTGTCTTTGTTAATTTCACCAAAAACAATTAATGACCAAGTTAAAGCAAAATAATACCATCCTGAACTGGGAATTGTAACTTGTAGAAATAAAATACATAACGGCAGTATTGTAAAAGACGGACAAGTGCAGAGGAATTATGGTACTTCCCCTTGCATTGCTAGTGATTGCATTCATGGTAGGCAAGCACTCTACCCCTGAGCTACATCCCAGCCCCATGCTCTTGTTTCTCTCTACTGTAGATACATGTGAAATAGAAACTGTGAATGTGAGATAAAGACTAAAAATATGGAGCAGACTGTGAGAAGTTAAAGATGAATATTGTAATTCCCATGGCAACCACTAGAATCCCATCTATTCCCACCACAGCACTGATTCGGAAGAGCATCATAGTTGATCTTATTTCACTTACATGTGTCTCTTCAAATAATCCAAGCCTGGAATGGCGTCTGACACTGTGTTCACATGGTTCATATCCTTGTAGACTTTGAAAATTAAAAAAAAAAAAAAGGTTTCAGCAAAGTGTTTGAAACCATTCCCTGCTCTCAGTTTCCCCCTCTCATATTTTCCTCTTGTTGAGTAGTTCTGAAATACTGACATGATATTTGGGCAAGAGGATAACTGTTAAAAATAAGCCATGTAGGGCTGGAGAGATGGCACAGCTGTTAAAGGCTAAGGCTAACAACCAAAACATGAAAAATAAGTCATTTGAATTGTAATTTGTTTTCATCTTTTTTTTTTTTCCTAGAAGTACTGGGGATTGAATCTGAGACCTCATGCATGCTAGGCAAGTATTCTACCCATGAGCCCAATTCCCACCCCTTGAATTGCAATCTGGAAAAATACCTTTTTAAGAAACAAATGAAAAGGGCTTGGATAGATGACTCAGCAGTTAAGAGTGTGTAGAGTTCTTCCAGAGGACCTGAGTTTGATTCCCAGCACCTGCATCAGGCAGCTCACAAATACCTGTAACCCCAGCTCCAGGGGATTTGATGCTGCAGGCACCAGCACTCATGTGCAGAGACTCACACATATACACATGATTAAAAATAAAATACATCTTTTAAAAAAGAAATAAATGACAAAATAAACTGAGAGAAAATTCCAATAAAAATTAATGGACTGTGAGAATCAGAAGCAATAATAATTATAAACAAATTATCTTTGACATTAGAAAACAAATTATAATTAAGCAAAAATGTTTTAGAATATATGAAGGCAGTAATTCGCTATAAGGAGTATTTCACTGCAGTGCTGCTGGGGACCAAACACAGGATATTGCATATTCTAAATACATGCTTTATCACTGAATTATGTCTCCAGTCCTCAAAAAGCTCTTGTACTATTCAATTACCTAATTAATGAAAAGAAGTAAATCACACCTCAATTAACACACCGAAAAGTGATATAAATTCTTTTAAATAATTTTTTTCTGTCTTTTTAAGAGTTTCTTTCTGTAGCCCAGCAGGCCTGGAAATCACTATGTAGACCAGGCTGGCCTTGAACTCACAGAGATCTGCTTGCCTCTGCCTCCAGAGTACTGGGATTAAAGGCATGCACCACCACAGCCAGCTATTAAATTAATTTTTTTGTTGTTTGGGGCTTTCTGTGACAATGTATTACTATGTAGCCACAGCCGCCTTTGAACTCATTGTGTGGCCCAGGCTGACCTCACAGTTATGGTGATCCTCCTGCCTCAGCTCCTGAGTGAAGGAATTACAATGTAATCCACTGATCCTGGATGAAATTTAAATTCTTGCACATTGACATAAAATACCAACATTAACAAAATGTATGATATTTGTTGTATGAACCTTTCCTGGGGAGAGGTGAACAAACATCAACTCATCCTAGAGAGGGCACCAGTGACAGACCAAGGTAATGATTCCCAAGTCCAGCTTGATAAACTAATGAGTTCATTTGGCTTACTTACAGAAGCATGGGTGAGTGGTTACTTATGGAGTGTGGGTAGCTCCAAAGACCTGCATCACCAAAAAGTTTGACTCCTACAAATGACGACATCTCCATAGCCGCAAAGATCTCTCCCTTCAGTTAACCTCTCACACTCTGTATTCTAGCATTACTAAAGACCATTAGCTCACATACAGCTGGAACAGAGTTACGTGCAGCTGACAGGCATATAAGGGCAGAATGGCTGAAATCTCAGGTGATGAACTAATGACTTTCTCCATCCCTCCTACGAGGGAACATCAGTGGGCCCAATCTTGAGGGTCTTTTGTAAGAAATCATAGCGGCCTTGAAAATGGTAATGACT